CCCGACGACCCCCCGCCGCGACTGGCTCTGGGGCCCCAGCCTAGCCTGCGCGGCTGGCGGGGCGGCGGGCCCAGCCCGACCCCGGGGGCCCCGTCCCCGGCGCACCATGGCGGCGCGGGCGGGGGCCTCGGCTCCCCCCAGGCCCCCGCCCTGCGTTACTTTCAGCTGCCCCCGCGGGCGGCCAGCGCGGCCATGTACGTGCCCGCGCGCTCGGGCCGCGGGCGCAAGGGGCCGCTGGTCAAGCAGACCAAAGTGGAGGGCGAGCCCCAGAAGGGCGGCGGCCTCCCGCCCGCCCCCTCGCCCGCGTCCCCGCAGCCGCCGCCGGCCGCCCCCTCGGAGAAGAACTCCATCCCCATCCCCACCATCATCATCAAGGCCCCGTCCACCAGTAGCAGCGGCCGCAGCAGCCAGGGCAGCAGCACCGAGGCGGAGCCCCCGAGCCAGCCCGAGGCCGGCGGCGGCCCCTCCGCGCAAAGCCCCGGCCCGGCCGTGCCGCCCTCGCCCTCGCCCGTGCCCACCCCCACGTCGCCCAGCGGCCCCGCCACCCTCGACTTCACCAGCCAGTTCGGAGCGGCGCTGGTGGGGGCGGCGCGCAGAGAAGGGGGCTGGCAGAGCGAGGCCCGCCGGCGCTCCACGCTCTTCCTCTCCACCGACGCGGGGGACGAGGACGGCGGCGACGGCGTGCTCGGGGCGGGGGCGCCCCCGGGCCCCCGGCTGCGCCACTCCAAGTCCATCGACGAGGGCATGTTCTCCGCCGAGCCCTACCTCCGGCTGGAGACCGGCGGTGGCGGCGGCTACGCGGGCTACGGGCCGGGCGGACGAGCCTACGCGGGCAGCGGGAGCAGCAGCGCCTTCACCAGCTTCCTGCCGCCGCGGCCCCTGGTCCACCCGCTGACCGGCAAGGCCCTGGACCCCGCCTCCCCGCTCGGGCTGGCCCTGGCCGCCCGAGAGCGGGCGCTGAAGGAGTCCTCGGAGGGCGGCGGGGCCCCCCAGCCGCCTCCACGGCCCCCATCGCCCCGCTACGAGGCCCCGCCACCCACCCCGCACCACCACTCGCCCCACGCCCACCACGAGCCATTGCTGCGTCTCTGGGGAGCCTCCCCACCGGACCCCGCCCGCCGGGAGCTGGGGTACCGCGCAGGGCTGGGCAGCCAGGAAAAGTCCCTTCCGGCCAGCCCACCAGCAGCCCGACGCTCCTTGCTGCACCGCTTGCCGCCAACAGCCCCCGGGGTGGGGCCCCTCCTGCTACAGCTGGGCTCGGAGCCCCCCGCCCCGCACCCGGGGGTGAGCAAGGCCTGGAGGTCCGCAGCCCCTGAGGAGCCCGAGCGGCTGCCCCTACACGTGCGGTTCCTTGAGAACTGCCAGCCCCGGGCCACTGGGGCGGCAGGGAGGGGACCCCCCTCAGAGGATGGGCCTGGGGTTCCGCCTCCCAGCCCACGCCGGTCCGTACCGCCTTCGCCAACCTCCCCACGGGGCAGTGAAGAGAACGGGCTTCCTCTGTTGGTCCTGCCGCCCCCTGCCCCCTCCGTGGACGTGGAAGACGGTGAATTCCTCTTTGTGGAACCGCTGCCCCCCCCTCTAGAGTTCTCCAACAGCTTCGAGAAGCCCGAGTCGCCCCTCACGCCTGGGCCTCCCCACCCACTGCCAGACCCACCCACCCCGACCAGCCCGTTGCCCCCTGTGCCACCCCCTGCCGTTGCCTCTGCCCCGCCCACCCTGGACTCCACCGCATCCAGCCTGACTTCCTATGACAGTGAGGTGGCCACGCTGACCCAGGGGGCCCCTGCAGCTCCTGGGGACGCCCCTCCTCCAGGCCCACCTGCCCCAGCCGCCCCAGCTCCCCTGGCCCCACAGCCTGGCCCAGACCCTCCACCTGGCACCGATTCTGGTATTGAGGAGGTGGACAGTCGGAGCAGTAGTGACCACCCTCTGGAGACCATCAGCAGCGCATCCACGCTGAGCAGCCTGTCTGCTGAAGGTGGTGGCAGCGCAGGAGGTGGTGG